CACGCTCCAGGCGCATGAAGCCCTCCAACTTTCCGTAGTTGGTGGACTGGTACTGAACTTGTCTGAAAGGATAGCAGCACTGAATGGATACATCAGTAGCCACCAGGCGTCATCGTAAAGGTCATATATGCATAGTGACCTCAAACAGCGATGAACTGAAGACGAATATGACGTATTCCTCAGAGACTCATCAACGCCGAGAACTTTATCCTCTGCCCTTTCGTGATATTTCAACTTATACGTCTCAAAATGTTGAGTGATATGTAGAACATTCGACCTCAGACGGGAGTTGAACCCACGTTTCACCCATAGCGGGGCGCGTGCTGCCACCACACCACAGACACAACCAATTTGACATGCGCAGGTTCAACTCCCGCCTGAGTCAAATGCTTTGCATACCATTCAACATTTTCAGACGCATCCTTAGGCAACATTCGGCGAGAGAACTTTCGTTCTCGAATCTAATCCCATGATTCACATATGTAAACCTACTACCTCCAAGTCTATAGTAGCATGCATTCAAGGTGTAAACTCTGTTGCAAGACATCCTAACACCATATTCTAAGCCCTCAATGAGGCATATTATGAGGGGCCGAATCATTATGTTATGTCATGCTATGAGGGCCATGACCTGGATCTGCCCTTATACAGTGAGCCTCGTCAGTTCCAAAGTGCTCCTCGTCTGTGCCGCATTGAATGTATAAGTGCTCATAACAGACCTTATGAAAGGCTTGAAATATGCCGCCAGGATGTATTGATTTTGCGCGAGATCTTGAAAACAGTCGAACATAGAGGTATTATAATAAAAAAAAAACCAGGCTTGAACAAATCGGCTATTGATCACTGCAATGTTCGGATTTTGTCACTAAACATGCATTGATATGTCACGCGTGGGTGAAGTAAATTTGCACTTACATGCGGTGTAACGTGTTCGTCGACTATACCTCTATGTAAGGAGGTTCTTCCCTGAAAAGGGATCAGCACAGACGACGTTCTCTGTGCAACTGATAAGGCTGCAAGGCCAAAACACGTGTGTTGCACTGCACAAGTGCTCAAAACAGACCTCATGAAGGGCTCAAAATATGCTGTCAGGTCTTGCTGATTTTGAGCGAAGTCTTATAAAACAATCGAATATAAAGGCTCGTTGTGAAGTTTGATAGATTTTTCTTGACGAGTCAATCAGCGAGGTTGTTACTACTGGAAATTATATAAACACCTGAAATATCGGCGGATTTCGCCTGATCCAGAGCCCAGAAAGATCAGATTATCCATAAACCAGCAAGAGATCGAAGAAAAGAACTTATGAAATCCTGGCTCATCCAGAAAAAATTGTGAAATATTGTACAACGGCGGCTTAACAGATCGTTTGGTTCGAAAATTATTACAGAACGTACCAACAAGACACGCACTGTGATAGTTCAGACTGAACTACAGGATCCACAGATTTCGCTTCATGAAGTCAAATAAATGAAGTTCTCTACAATAATCAATCCCTCAGGTATGCCCCACGCATTCGCTTCAATTCGTAACATCACAGAGATGACTGTAGGCATCTGGCCTTCACAACGACTCACGGTAGCCTACCGATGTATCAAGTCAATGTTGCTATTTTCCTAGAAAAGTCTGGCAATAACCCCGGAGCTATGGAAGGCTTGGTGAGCTTCAAGAGTGATGTCGGACCGTCGACCACGCCTGTGTGGCAGGACACCTCTAGATACTGCGACACTTCATACTTGATTATTTACACGACCCGCCATCACAATTTTTATTGTGCGGATCTCAGTACTTCTAGCATTCAATTCGATTTTCTCCTTCTTGTATAAAATAGAATCTGGTCGAGCATGTCCCTCTGCATTCTCGAGGATAGTCTAGCTGCGGCGTTCCAAAGGGCAAACTTGTTGACTGCCGGAGAGTGCAAAAGGTGGTGCTCGGCTCCACGTGCGCCGTGACGAGCATTACAGCCACTCGGCCACAGCGTCCCTGACTTCGCATTGCGTACATAAAAAATGTAATGATATTCACTTACACAGTGAGGTATGAGGCGAGTTACGGACGGAACTAGAACTCGAAGATGACTCTCTACCAAGTCTGGACGCGACATCAAAAGCTGCTTTGTACCAACCAGGGCACCGTTTCGAACACTCTGTAGCAGCCAGTATTGGTACAAATAGAACTAATCAATAGTAGAATAGAAGAATACATTCGCCAAAAAAAGCAAGTAAAATGGTCCTCAAATAAAACTGTACAGTCGAAGAGAACATTTGGTTGCATACCTTATTGAAATGTCCCAGTTGCTTACATAACTCATCCAGCGACAAACCACGATACGACAGTGGTTTCTCAGATGTTTCATGCTTTTCCTGGAGTTGAGAGAGCAATACGACCTTTTTCGCTGAAAAGAAAATATCGTGGAAACGTGAGAATCACATATGTTACGTGGTTTCATCGTAACAGCGCCTCCCCATCCCTACTATAAGTAGGTGGAACCTGCGGCGTGGATGGCTCTGATGAGGCGGGCAAGAGAACCGAAATGTACGTAAGCCATCATCGTAACAACCCGAAAAAACTTAAGACATTCTCTCTGACAGTATTGAAAAATTGAGTAATATAGAATCCTTTTACTGCTTTGACACTTTACTGTTCCGTTCTCATGGTGCTTTTTTCTTTACTGTGCGGATCCCACTACTTCTAGAACCCAGTTCGTTTATTTCTTCTTGATCGTCGTAGAATATTGGTTGAGCGAGTCTCCTTGTAGTTTGTGTCAGGTTAAAATTTCGCTTGAAACAGAGTGTAAAACGTTCGTCTTCGATGACTTTCCGTAAAGGAGCAGAGCTCCCGAGAGAACTGACTATAAAAATATCGAAAGACGACGGGTTCTGCCCGACTGACGAGTCTGGAAGGACGAAACATGTGTATCGGGCTGTACAAGAGCTCTTACCAAACCAAATGACAAGTTGGCTCAATTGATAATGAGAGGATCTTCTGTACTCTCGAGGATAGCCTGGCTGTGGCGTTCCATAGGGCATTCGCTATTGACTGCTAGAGAGGCATGAGGGGCAGAGTTCGACTTCACGCGCGCCGCGGCGAGCATCACTACTACTCAGCCATGGCGCCCGGAAACGGAATTCTCTAGAAGAATACGGTGCGGTCCGAAGTCCTTAGGGTGATATAGGAATGGCTCATTACCCGATGTGCTTTACTGACCTTTTCGTGGCAGAAACTCGTCTCTGGGAAGACCTCTTTCCGTAGCTATGGCCATTCCATTCAGTATCCTTCTCCTCGACGCAGTTTCAAGATTGCTGATAAAAGCAATTAGTTTTTAGCATTTTATTGACCCGTCTCCACACGGTTTTTTTTTCAGTGCGCATCCCAGTACCTCTAGCATTCGATTCGTTGACGCGTCTTCTTCTTGAACGGCGTAGAATACTCGTTGAGCGAGCCTCCTTACAATCTAGAGAACAGCCTGGTCATGGCGTCCCACAGGGCGTTGTTGTTGAATGCCGGAGAGGGTTGAGGGTGGAGCTCGACTCCACGCGTGCCGCAACGACCATCACATCCATTCGGCCACGGCACCCCTTCCATTACATTACTATATCACTACTGCACACACACACTATTACTAACAACCTTGCGTCTGCTCATTAAAAAAAGGATACTTAATTATTCGATCCGTGCCAAGTTTGATGGCTAGTCAGTCTTGCGAATGAGCGAAATAGAAAAGAGACAAAAACAAACGATAAAGCCGTAACCGACTGGATTCCTCGGGACCTCAGGCGCTCTAAAGGAAGACCACCGACCCGTTGGTCCGATTTCTTCACGAAAGCGATAGAAGAAAGATATGATGCTCAGCAAAAACCTAGAGCCAGGAGGACCTACTGGACTACTCTTGCACGCGAAAGGGAAAAATGGAAGTGTTGTTGGTACCCGCTCGAGTCACTCGACGATCAACGGGACGACAGGTGATACAGATGATAGTGATAAGCCACCGCTTTTGGACTAGCCAGAGACTAGTGAAATTTAGATGAACTGATGCTTACTTTTAATTGTTGTGTCGGTAGTCGAGGTCTTCTTCAGCTTTTTGCCCACCTTCAGCTTCACTTTCTTGAAGTCGGCATTCTTCTTCGCCTTTTTCTTCGTCACCATTTCCTCTGACAAAATCAGCACTTTCTTGTAAACTAACGAAAATCAGAAGCAACGACGAAAAACCAGCACGAAATTCAGAAATAAAAAAAATTCATTAAGAAAATCATCAAAAATCTGGACGAATGTCAATTCACATGGACAACGGCCATGGCAATTTGACACACCGTCGATTAGAGCACAAAATTTTACGTCAGCCTTTGAGCTTAAGGTAACCGAGAGCATGAGCGGACATCTTCTTTCTAAGGTATTAATAGGGGCTCCACGGCCGAGTGGTTGTGATGCTGGTCGCGGCGCGCGTGAAGCCGAGCTCCACCCCCAAATCTCTTCGTTGGTTAACAAGAACGCCCTATGGAATACCACTGCAGGGCAGGCTATCCTCGAGATTGCAAGGAGACTCGCTCAACCGGTATTCTACGACGTTCCAGCAGAAGACGAAAAAACGAGTTGAGTGTTAGAAATACTGGGATCCGCACAGTGAAAAGGAAAAAAAAATGTGAAGACGGATCAAATAAAGTGCTAAAAAGGTAATGGCCCACTTCTACTTTGCAAACAGGTTCCTTTGATATCAGCAGAATCTAAGGAAGCCTCACAGCGAACGAGGGTTTCGTAACCGCAGCCTCTGGTCCCCCAAAGCTTTCTAGCGAGGAAGAAGAAATCGTCGGAGGGGCTCGTAAGCGGAGAGGAATGACAAAAGGGCCTGGTGTTCCCGGAACTAAGTCGAATTCATTGAATTTTCATTGTCAGATTGCTCAGCAAATGTTTTTTTTTTGCAAGAATTCCAAAGCTTTTACAGCTTTTTTCGCAGTGTTATTATGTTCCATGTATACCTAAAAGAGTTGAGTGGTGTGCAAAAATACGACCTCAGACGGGATCGAACCCGCGTTTCATCCATACCGGAGATGCGTGCTACCACATCACTACCGAGGCCACATTTGTATCTTATTCGGCTGTGTTACAATGGCTGTCGGCACAGCTGGGTTTGCTAATCGAAAATGCATACCCGACAAACCTGTTAGGAGGTCGGTGGCTGATAGCTATCACAGAGACACTGAAGAATGAGTGGTGGCGCAAAATGTGCCTCACTGGTGTAGTGGGAGCACGCGTCCCTGGTGTGGATAAAAGGCGGGTTCGAGTCCCGCCTCAGGTCGTATTTTTGCTCACCACTCAATTCTCTGAGGTATATACGAAGTTTTCTATTGTGAATAAAGAAGTGCATAGATCAGCTCTTCTGGCCTTATCCATCCTATTTTAATCTGTTGCTCTTCTTTCCGGTCGATGGGTTTTCTCGATTGCTTGTGGCTGACGTTTCGGCAAATATGCCTTCTTCAGAGCCTGAACGTATTATTCGTTGCAGCTTTATTTATATGACTATACAATAAGGAAAGAGAAAAAAAAAATAATTTGAAATTCTAAGGTATTGTAAGCGAAAATCGATTCAGGGAAAACCACTCACCTAACCATCTAATCCAGGGACTACCTATGTTGTTAGCGCCAGGGTGACGTATGAACCCGCCCCCATGTCAATAGATCAAACTATGCATAGGTGTCAGCTGGGACCCATGCTAGAAAATTAATCTGAGATAAGGTGCCATATGGTTGGTTATGTTAAGGCACTCTCCCTTTTTGTTCATTTGCGGGTTTTTGGAATTTATCCAAAAAGCTTCAAGGGTCTTTCGCGCCGATGTCTTTGGTTCGTGCCCTAGAATTTTGACTACTACCTCGAAGTCATCATCGTTGTGTCTTTGAATCCTATGTGTACCTAGAGGTTTACCTGGGTCTTTATTTGCTTTTCCATCTAGGTGCTCTTTAATCCGGATGTGAAGTGGTCTGCCTGTTTCGCCAATATATTCATCACCACATGTCTTACAAGAGATTAGGTATATTGTACCTACGCTCATGCAATCGCCGTCTCTACCGTTGGGGCAAATAACGCAGTCCTTCGTATTACATAGACGGTCATACAAGCGGTTTCGAACTAATTGACGACGCAGTGTTTTAGGCGGAATTTCTACAATTCCTACAGAATCTTCTAGACCACTGTTTTTCAGACACTTTCTAATAGCGGTACTGACTTCGTCTGTTATGAAAGGTAGTTTAAGAGGTACCTTATTGTTTAGGTGTGGCGCCCTGTCGTTCCCATTGCGAGGCTTTTCGCTCCTTTTGGGCCTAACGTTAGTCTTTGTTTTTCCTTTGTACCCATTAGAAATGGCTATTTTTCGCGCTAAGTCTAGTGATTCCCTTCTTTCATCGTCTCCCGTACAAACACTTACAGCTGTTCGATACATATTTCGGATAAGTGCCTTTTTAGTATGTGAGGGATGGGAAGAAAGGTAATGTACTAAGATGTTTTTATTACTAGGCTTGCGGTACCATTTTGTGCTATAGCCACTTTCATTAAGTTGAACTTGAACGTTCAAGAAGGGAAGCCAGCTCTCTGAATTTGGATGTTCTCGCGTCAACTTAATAAACTCTGACTGTCCGTTCAGGATTTCGAAATACTTATCCATCTCCTCTTGTGTAGAGCAGATGATGAAACAGTCGTCTATATAGCGACAGTAGAGTATTGGACGCCGATGGAGAACTGGAGCTTCCACTTTTGACATGAAAGCGATGGCTAAGCTGGGTGCTAGTCTTTGCCCCATTGCCAACCCTCTAATTTGCGCGAAATATTTTCCCGACCACCTAAATATCGAACAGCTTAGACATGACCTAAGGAGTGTGATAAGCTGTTGGACCGACAAGCCAAACATATCTACGTTTTCTATGTTCTCTATCAGTAATTCATGAGTGGCTTGTATTGCGACGTCATTTGAGACGTTTGTATAGAGCGCTGTAACATCAAACGACTCCATTACGTACGTATGATTTGGACGCGCATTTTTAAGGTGCTCTAGGAATATATTGGTGTTGGGGAGATGGGTTGGTATGAACTTCAGTAATTGCGACAAAATGAGGCCAAGAAACCAAGTAATCCTATCCGTCGGCCCGCCTACACAGCTAATGATTGGTCTAACTTTGAATGTAGATGGATCGGTAGACCCAAAATCATTAGCAGAAATTTTATGTGTTTTAATGAGTGTGTATAGGACGGGGCAAGTTGGCGATTCAATTTTTAGTTGACGGATAAGAGATTGTTGTAAACCCGCAGCTTTTGCCGTCCGGACCCATTCTTCATTCAGTTTTCGGCATTGTGATTTATATTCCTTTTCAGAGGAAGGTCGATAGAGAGAAGCATCTTGGAGATGTTTCTCCGTTATATCAACATCCAACTGACGAGGAATAACTACAAATTCCCCACCCTTATCGCTAATAGATAACCGGACTCTTTTTGAGTTTATCAGCTCTCGGACTTCTTTTATACCATGCTTTTGTTTTTTGGTTAGGTTGGAGCTGAATTTGCTTTGTCGGTAGCGATTAAGTATGTGGAAGAGTTCGTCTGAAAATGTACGGAAGATTGAGTCAATTTCGCTTTCAGGTTGTTGTTGTTTAAAGAACGTTCGTGGGAAAGGAGGTGGTGGTAATGTTGCCTCTCGACGCTGTGCTAGACCTAACCTTTCTTGTTTCGCTTTATAACGGAGTTGATCTAGGACCTCGTGCAAATTACAAGCGATAGCGCGCAACGATGTTTTGGAAAGGGATTGAGCAGGTGCAAAACTTGGCCCTAATTCCAATAGTGATTGCGCACTATCCGTGAGGGTTATGCCTCCTAATGTGGTAACTCTGGAGGGTTTTGGCGCGTTTTTTACCTCAGATTCTCCTTCGAACTTGCCAGGATCGCAGTTTCTTTTACTTTTTGAGCCTGAACTTGAACTAGGATTTTGCTCCCGCATTAGATTTTCAAATTTTCTCCGCAATCTATGTTTTATGTCATATGTCATATCGTCACAAATAGACATAGATTCATCTACTATTCTTTTCCAAAGATTCCTATCCAAATACTGCACACAATGATGTTCTTTATAGACGCATTTTTCCAGAAGTGAAAACAGTTTGTTTTTTTGTATTTTGTAGACAAATGCGTAATAAGCGCATATGAATGTTCAGTATTTGGCGTGAATCATTTGGTAAGCCACACATTTCATGCAGTTTCCTATGTTTTATAAAATTAGGAATGACCTTGTTTTTTATGCAGCGGCTAAGAAAGTAGGTCTTCTGTCTAATTAAGACGATTTTTTGCCTTAACGATAATACGTCCCTGACAAGTCGGAAATGTTTAGCTGGTACATTTTGTAACAACTCGAAAGACCGACTTTCTTGAAACCTCGGCATGTTAATAATATAAAACTTTGAAAATGAGAAGAAAAGCTTAGAAAACTAATCTTTATTTAAAGCTTCACGAGGTTGGTATCTTTTCCCAATCGATTGCTCTTCTTTCCGGTCGATGGGTTTTCTCGATTGCTTGTGGCTGACGTTTCGGCAAATATGCCTTCTTCAGAGCCTGAACGTATTATTCGTTGCAGCTTTATTTATATGACTATACAATAAGGAAAGAGAAAAAAAAATTATTTGAAAATCTAAGGTATTGTAAGCGAAAATCGATTCAGGGAAAACCACTCACCTAACCATCTAATCCAGGGACTACCTATGTTGTTAGCGCCAGGGTGACGTATGAACCCGCCCGCCATTTTTTTTTCTCTTTCCTTATTGTATAGTCATATAAATAAAGCTGCAACGAATAATACGTTCAGGCTCTGAAGAAGGCATATTTGCCGAAACGTCAGCCACAAGCAATCGAGAAAACCCATCGACCGGAAAGAAGAGCAATCGATTGGGAAAAGATACCAACCTCGTGAAGCTTTAAATAAAGATTAGTTTTCTAAGCTTTTCTTCTCATTTTCAAAGTTTTATATTATTAACATGCCGAGGTTTCAAGAAAGTCGGTCTTTCGAGTTATTTTAATCTGCTATTGATAGCCTTTAAGCTAATTCAAATGTCGACGACTATGTTTAACACCTGCAACCCATTCAATTGCGAAGGTACACCATGGTACCCAAAGCGTTTCTGCGGCTCATGCCCGTATGGACACCACAGTGCTACATGCGAGTTGTTACAGGTGTAAAAATCTGAAAAAATCTCGTACTCCTTTATAACGTGTAAATTAAGAAAAAAAAACTTCTCGAAATTTATTCTTATAATACGACAATGTAAAATAATCCAAGTAGTTCATGTAAGATTTGCAGAGTTGTCAGGACTTCAGGTTAGTCTTATCAGATGAATTCACAAGTCAACTTTGTACATTACAAATCAAAGTGAGAAGAAATTATCAACATTGTGATTATAGATCTACCTATGCATACATGAAAAATATCAGTGAACAATGTTGAGCTTTTTCTTAACGTGCAGAATTTCATCTTTGCGAATTTTGCGGCTCGCCTCTTTTTGAATAGATGACCTTAATTGCGTTAATCAATTGAATAGTAGCTTTTCTTTCGGACGTCTTGTTTTCAAACTGTAAAAGTTCTGTCTGATGAAGGGGGAGGACCATGGCCGAGTGCTTGTGATTCTCGTCGCGGCGCGCGTAGAGTCGAGCTTTACCCCTCAACCCTCTCTGGCAGTCAACAATACGCCTTACGGAACGCCCTAGCCAGACTAGCCTCGAGACTGCAAGGAGACTCGCTCAGTCAGTATTCTACGACATTCAACAAGAATACGAAATAGCGAATTGAATGCTAGTCCTGGGATCAGCACAGTGAAAAAAAAAGCGCTGTGAAGACGAATCAACAAAGTGTGGAAAAAATCTACTTATTTACTTACACGACCTGTTATCACATTTTTACTGTGCGGATCCTAGTAATTCTAGCGTACGATTCGTTTTTTCGTCTTCTTCTTCAATGACGTAAAATATCGGCTGAGCGCGTCTCCTTGCAATTTCGAGGATATCCTGGTTGTGGAGTTCCATAGGGCGTTCTTTGCTGACTACCGAAGAGTGTTGGGAAATGGGGGTCAGGTCCCGCGCCACGACGAGCATCACAACCACTCGGCAACGTTCCCAGCCTTTTTTCTTTTGAAATGTATAACTTTTATTTATTTGGTAGACTTAATATGAACAACTGCAACTACTTTGAAAGAACTACTGCAATCAGCAAAATTATTCGGAATTTGTTTTTGACAGACCAAAATGGTACAGTCAAATTAGAAATACCTTAC